AAAAAAAAAAAAAAAAAAAAAAAAAAAAAAAAAAAAAAAAAAAACATATATTTATGAAATATAAAGAGTATAAATAGAACACTTCGCCTTATAAACTTTTTAAAAAGAAAAAAAAAAAAAAAATTGAATTTATATTAAGTGAATATAATTAAAATTAATATATAAAAATAAATGTATATGTATATAATTTTTTTTTTTTTATATAGATTGTTTTAAATACTAAATCTGTTATTATATCTCATTATATTTTATTATTTTATATTTTATTGTTATACATTTTCTTGTATTTCATTTTAATCGTATATTGTAATTTCCGTAGAAAATTTTTTTAAAATCATTTAATTATTTTTATATATATATTTGCTTACATATATATGCTATATTTATATCTACATTTCTAATTTCGTAAAACTTATTTTTTTATTCAATATATTTTTTTTTTAAAAATGCAATCAAAATTTTGGGCAAAAGCAGTAGATGAAGAAAGTGGGGATAATCTATCTGAATCTTCTGAAAATGAAATTGATGTAATAATTCAAAAAAAAAAAAAAAATTAAAAATAAAACATATTATATATAAAAGAGATGTTTTTTAAAAATATATAATTTACAATTATACAAAAATCTTTATATGAAAAAAAAAAGTTTTGAAATATTTCCATATATGTTAACTTCATGTTATTATATTTATAAATGTAAATAAATTTTAATTGTAATATTTATTTTTTTTATAATTTTATTTTTCTTCTTATTATTATTTTTATTGTTTATAATTGCTATTTTACGCGGATACATAACAATATTAACTTTCATTTAATTTTCCATAATGAAGATTTTCTTTGATCTACATATCCAATCTCGATATATTTTTCATTTTGTATATATGTTGTTTTTAGAATAAGAAGCCTCTTGTATCAGCACAAGCAGAAAGATGGGCAGCTATCGATAGTAGTAGCTCAGAAGAAGAAGAAAGAGTTATAAAGAGTTATGAAGGAAAAAGATTAGATTTTTATGAAAATATGGGAAATAGTATAAATGAAAATATGAATAATAATGAATTTAATCAACTTTTAAAAGATTACGAAAATTTATATAAATTTATGATTAAAGAAAGTTCTGAAAATATTCCAAAATTTGCAATAGTTTACCTAGATAAATTATCTAAATATGTAGAAAAAATTTTTCAAAATAATGTAGAAAAGAAGAATTTAAGTAAAAATAAAGCGCAAACATTAAATAAATTAAGAGCAAAAATTAGAAAATGTAGTGAATTTTATCAAGAAAGGTTAAATGCTTATAATGAAAACCCAGATGACTTTAAAGATGACTTAGAAGAAAATGAAGAAGAGGAAGAAGAAGAGGAAGAAGAAGAAGAAGAAGAAGAAAAGGAAGAAGGAGAAGATGAAAAAGAAAAAAAAAAAGCGGAAAAATCTAAAAAAGATTCTGATAAAAATGTTGAAGAAGAAGATAACAGTGATGAATGGTCTTATAGTGATGAAGAAGAATATGCATCTAATGAAGAAGATGATAAAACAAAAAGTGCTATCAGTAAATGGGGATTAAAAACAAGTGAGAAAGTGGAAAAGAAAAAAACAATAAAAGTAAAAAAATCAAAAAAAGAAACTAATAAAAAAGAGGAAAAAACAGTACATATTGATGAAGTTCAATCTTCTAAAAATAAAGGATATTTAGATTTATTAAATACCAAGAATTTAACAGAAGATGTTATAAGAAAAAGAGTAAAACTAGTTATTGAAAAGAGAGGAAGAAAAGGGTTAGATAAGCATGAGCATATTAACATATTGTCAAAATTATGTGAAATAGCAAAAACAATAAGTACGCAATCTTATATTGAAGTATTAGAACATTTAATTAACTTAGAATTTGATGTCGTCTCTAGTGTTTATACTTATATGTCATTTAATATATGGAATAAGGCTTTCAAATATATCGAGCTTATATTGGATTTGTTAATTCAAAATGATAATTTTTATTTAGTATCTATAAATCTTGCAGAGGAAATTACGGAAGAAAGCACAAATGAAAAAGAGAAAATTATAAAATCTTGTAAAACACTTATCTCATTTCTAGCCAAATTAGATGATGAATTATTAAAAGCTTTATTATATATAGATGTTCAAACAGAAGAATATAGAAAAAGGTTAGGAAAAACAATTCATGTAATTGGTTTATTGCACAAAGGTTATAACTATGTGAAATACACAAAAAAAATGCCTGAATTGGCAATATATATTTCTTCAAGAATTTTGGAACATATGTATTACAAATCAGAAACTATTTTTAAACAAATATGGAATTTCATTAATTATGGGAAAGAATATTTAGAATCACCAAATAATAGTAGCAACAATAATAGTTTAAATAAAGAAAATAATATCAATGAAAAATCAAAAGAAAAAATAAATGAAGAAAATTCTGTTAAAACAAATATAGAAATATGCCCAAAAAAAATAGTTGAAAATTATGTTTATGAAATATTTGAGTATGGTACAAAACAACAAAAAATAAGAGCATTATTGCAATTATCATATAATAAAAGTTTATATGATGATTTTTTGGAAGCTAAAGAATTATTGAATGTTGCTAATGTACATGAATTGGCACTTAATTCAGATATACAAACACAAATACTATATAATAGAAATTTAATTCAATTAGGGTTATGTGCATTTAGACATGGAAGAATTTATGAAGCCCATTGTTGTTTAATGGAAATATGTTCTCAAAATAAACATAAAGAATTAATTGCACAAGGAATGTCAAATTTAAAAAATCAAGAAAAGACTTTAGAACAAGAAAGGGCAGAAAAAAGAAGATTACTTTCTTTCCATATGCATATATCAATTGAATTAATTGAATGTGTTAATAATATTTGCGCTATGTTATTAGAAGTTCCAAATTTAGCAAAAAATTCTTATGAATCAAAAAAAGATATTATATCAAGGCAATTTAGACGATTTTTAGATATGTATGACAAGCAAGTTTTTAATAGTCCACCAGAAAATAATAAGGAAATTATCATACTAGCAACAAAATATTTACAAAAGGGAAACTGGAAATTATGTTGTGAAAAAATTTTTGGTTTATCAATTTGGTCCAAATTTACTGATAAGGAAAAAGTACAGGATATATTGAAAGAAAAAATTAAACAAGAAGCTATGAGAACTTATATTTTTCGTTATATTTTCATATATGATTCATTTTCAATAGATCAATTGTGTCTTATGTTTGATTTAAGTCAAAATACTGTTCATTCAATTTTAAGTAAAATGATGATAAATCAAGAAATACCTGCATGTTGGAATGAAAGCAGTCAATTTATTCTTATTAACAAAATTAATCCTACTATTCTTCAGTCAATGGCTCTTAAATTAGCAGAAAATGTTAATGATGTAATGGAACAAAATGAATTAGCTTTAAATATGAAAAATCCAAAGTAACTTAAATCACACACATACATATATATATATATATACAAATATATATTTATACTTATAATTTTTTTTTTTTTTTTAATAGGTTTATGTTTATGCAAGAAAGAAGAACTCAATTAAAAGATGAGAAATCTAATTGGACACAAAAAAAGGGGGACACAAAATATGTAAAAAATTATAATCAACAAAAAAATGCTCATTATAAAAAAAGTTATAAAGATAAAAATGTAAATAAAAATTATATACAAAATTAAATTCTTTATATATATATATATATATATGTATTTTTTTATCTTATTTTCTTAAATATATGATTTATTTACTTGCATAAGCTCACATTTATATATGTATATATAAATACACCTTTTATTTTCTATTTTTGTTTTTACATTATTTTAAAAAAAAAAAAAAAAAATTGCATAAAAAGAATAATAACAAAATAGTATATATAAAATATTTCGGACCAATTTTTTTTTTAATAAGAACTAATATATTTTTCCTAAATATATGTAATAACTATATTTTAAATTAAATAAATGAATATACTTTATTATTTTGATTATATTTTTTTCTTTTTTTTTTTTTTTGATCTTTATAACCAAATAAAAAAAAAAAAAATATAATAACGATCTCTTAACCATAAACATTGGTTTTTTTTTTTATTTTTTATTATTTGCATTAATCTTATATAGAAAAAATATTATACGAAATACTTTTGATTAAATTATGAGATATTAAAAAAAAAAAAAAAATAATTCATACATTTCATTATATATTAAATACACATGATATATTTTAATTTCTGAAAAATTATAAACATTTATTTATTGAAACATTCTTAAAACTATTTTTAAATACAAGTAATAAAATAGCTATTATTTATAAAGGATATTAGTTTTTTTAAAGAAAATTTTAGTAAAGGATACACACATTTAACACACATTAAATATAACAAGAGTACTAATTTAATATATAATGTTTAATAAAAATCATATGTTTAATTTTAGATGAAAAAAAATAGTTAACTTGATTTAGTCTCCTTTAATATTATACCATTTATTATCTTTTTTTAAATATACACTTTATTCCATATAAGAGGTTTGAAACAGTGCCTGTTATATAAACTATATATATTATAAAGATATAAAAAATTATAAAATATATGAAAATTTAGTTTATTTTAAGAATTTTTATTTAAAATATGAAAAAATTAGATATTGACGTATATGATAAAATTGAAGATATCCATTTAGGCATTTATGAACAAGATCAATGTGATTTTTTGGCTTTATCAGATAGAAATGGTAATTAAAAAAAAAAAAAAAAAAAAAAATTGTATATATATGTAAATTAAAAAGACAAATAAAATATAAAAATAGAAGAATATAATAAAAGATATCATGTGAATAGTAGTAAAATAGAACCAAACAAAAGAAATGAAAATTATTTTATTTTTTATCTTTTAAAAATTTTAATATTGAAAAGTTAAGAAAATATTATATTTATTGATAAACTTTTAATTCTTTTATAGTTATGAATTCAGATACGAAAAAAAATATTATTCATTTTAATAATCATTACAGTTACAATCAATTAAAAAATAAAGATAGCTTAATTATGTTTTTAGTTGATATTTTAAAATCTCTTTTTGTTTCCAATTGTATTGATAAAAATATTGATAATGTTTTACTAAGTATAGAAGAGATGTTTATTGATCACTATTACAACCCCTTACATAGCAGATTAAAATATTTAATAGATGATGTTGGTTAGTAGTATAAAATTGAAAATATAAAGATAAGATTGTGTATATATATATTTATTTATACTAAAAATTCTAATAAAAAAAAAAAAATAAAGAAATTAATGAAAGATATTTTTAATTCAAAATTTTATTAGGAATATTTTTTACAAAATTACCTATATCAAAAGCATTTCATACATATAATAAAAAGTATCAAATAACAAAAAGGTTGTATGCTCCACCAACATTTAATGAAGTTAGACATATCCTTAATCTAGCTCAAGTATTTAATAGAATAATAGAATTAAAAAATTCGAAAATTAAATTTTATAAATTTTTTTATTTTTTTTTTCTTAATTAAGATTTTATCTCTTGAAGATGGTTTAGATTTATTAACTTTTGATGCTGATGAAACTTTATATCCCGATGGACATGATTTCCATGATGAAGTTTTAGCAAGTTACATTTCCATTTTATTAAAGAAAATGAATATAGCCATAGTTACTGCAGCTTGTTAGTATAATTATATAAAATTATTTATATAAAAGTATATATTTCTACTTAATATTTTATAAAAATTCTATATTTTTTAAGGTTATAACAATGATGCAGAAAAATATCAAAAAAGACTAGAAAATTTATTAAAGTATTTTTCTAAACATAATATAGAAGATGGATCTTACAAAAATTTTTATGTTATGGGGGGTGAAAGTAATTATTTATTTAAGTAAAAAAAATAAAAAACAAATAAAATTTAAAAGTAAAATGTATTTTTAATTACTATAGTTATATATATATACATACTCAAGGATAAAGTCTCTAATTAATAATGACATATGTATGAACGTTTGTTGAATGAATATATATAAATTTTTTGAGAAAAACTATCATTTTTTTGTGTTATATTATTTTATTTTATTTTTTTTTTTTTTATAGATGCAATGAAGAAGCAAATTTATATTCAGTACCGGAAAAAGAATGGATTCATTATAAGAAACATGTAGATGATGAAACGATTCAAGATATATTAAATATTTCTCAAAAATGTTTAGAACAAGTAATAAAAGATTTTAAATTATGCGCAAAAATACAAAGAAAAGAAAAATCAATTGGTTTAGTTCCTGAAAAAATGCCATCATTAAATAATAAAAATGGTATTATATAAATCTCATATATAGATGATCATTTCATTTAATTTCGTTTTTTTTTTTTCTTTTTTTAATTTTTACAAGTATTTAATTCTTACTTCTTTATAGAACCTAAAAATTATATGATAAAATATGAAGTATTAGAAGAAGCTGTTATTCGTATAAAAAAAGAAATAATAAAAAAAAGTAAGGAATAAATACGTATGTATATTAATATTTTATTTTTTATTATATTCTATTTTTTGTAATAAGAGATGAATAAAACATACATATGTACAAAAAAATTTTTTTTTTTTTTTTATTATTTTAATAATTTAAGAAATAACTGCACCATATTGTGCTTTTAATGGAGGACAAGATTTGTGGGTAGATATTGGAAATAAAGCAGAAGGGTTATTAATTTTACAAAAATTGTTAAAAATAGAAAAAAAAAAGTGTTGCCATATTGGTGATCAATTTTTACATTCAGGAAATGATTTTCCTACAAGGTTTATAATATTTATAAAAAAAAAAAAAAAAGAGAAAAAGTTGATATGCTTATTATTTACCATAAATTATTTTAATATATTATTCTTGAACATTTATAAGTTTCTTATCTTATTATTTCTTTTTTTATATTTTTAACAGATTTTGTAGTCTTACATTATGGGTAAGTAATCCTCAAGAGACGAAAGCATGTTTAAAAAGTATAATGAATTTAAATATAAAGTCTTTTGTTCCTGAAGTTTTATATGAAAGTTCATAATTTATATATAATAAAGATTATATTTATATATATATATATATATATATATATATATATATATATATATATATATATATATATATATATATATATTTATTTATTTATTTATTTATTTATTTATTTATTTATTTATTTATTTATCAAAAAGGTAAAAAAAATTAAATAATTGTTTATTATAACTTTTCATTAAAGAGTATTTATTTTTCTTAATATTATAAATATTTTTATAGGAATAAAAATATTTTATATACTTTTTATTATAAATTTTTGATTACTAATGAAAAAGAAATGAATTTAAAATTTCTTTTTTCTTTTTTTTTTCTTTTTTTTTTCTTTTTTTTTTTTTTGTAGTCTAAATTCTAACAAAAAGAAAAAAAAAAAAAATGAATATAATTTAAAATAAAATAAATATTTTTATGTTTTAAATTTTTGTTCATATATGCTTTTTTTTTTTAGACATTTTTTTGTGCAATATTTTATTATTTTATAGAACGTTTAATTTTATGGAATTATTTCCTTAATAACAATAAATCTTTTTATTATGTGTTTCTTTATAAAACTTGTAAATTTATAATATTTCCAATTCGTAAATTATTATATTTATGTATTTTTATTACCATAATATATATAAAGAAACAAAGTGGGGTAAAACAACGATAAAATGATATGATGATTTTTTAGTTTTTTTTTAAATTTTATTATTTTTGATAATTTTAAATATACTCTTTCTTATTTTATGTTCCTTTTACAATGTTAATGGAAATTGATTATTATAATTTATTTGAGTTTTATATTTTTTTTTAAAAAAATGAAACTAAAAATATATCTTTTTTCTGAAAAAACATCTACATATATTTCTTTTTTTTAATATAAGGTTTTTTTTTTTTTTTTTTTTTTTTTATTATAATCCTATGTTTTAATTTAGTTAATAATAAAAATATTTTGAATTATTTTAATTTTGTATTTTTAATATTCTTAATCATGACATTGATATGTATTTAAACTAATTTAAATATTATCTTTAATAATTTTATTTGTATTATTGTTTTAAATATTTATAAATTTTAATTTTTAGTATTTCTTTTTTATATATATTTTTAATAATGTGTTTAAAATATGCATAACATTTATATATGCTTATTTAGAAGAACTAATTATGGCTAAAATAAAATATATGTTTATATATTTCCTGATAGTATTATTTGATACTTTTTATATATGTGATATGAATTTTTCTAATTTTAAATGGACTCATGATTTATTTAGTATAAGTGATTTACATGGTGACATGGATTCTTTTATAAAAATTTTATTAAATGAACAAATAATTGATAAAGATAACAATATTCTTAAAGAAAATGTGTTAATAGTTATAACTGGTGATATTTTAGATCCTAATTATGATGATATAAATATTGTATTTTTTATTGAAGGATTTAATGAAAAAGGAAAAGACAAAAATTCTAGTATCCTTTTGATTTTGGGAAATCATGAAGTGAAAAATTTATGTTTGGATTTTAATAAGAAAAAAAAAGATAGCAACAAATATAATAGTAGAAACAAATTGTTTAAGAAAAATGAAAAAATTTATAATTATTTAATTAAAAATCCTTTTGTTGTAAAAGTAAATGACATTATATTTTCTCATGCTGGTGTGTTACCTTTTTATTCTTCTTATGGTATTAATTTTATAAATGAGGAAGGAAAAAAAGAAATAGAAAATAATTGTGAATTATTAAAAGAAAAAAAGAAAAAGAAAGAAGAACTATGTATTTGTTGTGAATACGGCCCCACATTAAATAGATATTATTCATATATTAGTAATAATATTTTTAAAAAATCTAAAGTATGTTCTACCCTAATTAAATCATTAAAATTATTAAAATCTAATAAAATGGTAATTGGACATACTGTTCAAAAAAATAAAAAGGTTAATAGTTTTTGTGAAGGGAAGCTTCTATTAGCTGATACTGCTATAAGTAAATGGAAGAAAGGAGTAATATCATATGTTCAATATTTTAAAAATGGAACATATAATGTAAAATATATTGAAAGATAAAATAAGAATACTTTCTTACTTATTTATATCAAAAATAATGTTTGAATTTACTTAAAAAATATATACATATAGTAATAAACTGAAATAAGGGTTATTATATCTATATTTCTTCATGTTTAATATTCTCTTTTAATTATAATTGTTTGACTTTATATGGAAAAAAAAATGAAAATTAAAAGACTATTTTTATGAGTTTTCGAGAATGTATATAAATATTTATTTGATTATACTTTTTTTTTTTTTTTTTTAATCTATACAAAAAAAATTAGAATGATAAATAGAAAACTATAAAACCAATAACGCAGATTATTATAATTGATATATTAATACTTCAATTTATTTTATAAATTTACTTAATTATTTCATATATTGTCCTAAAATTTTATTAATACCAATTTTTCTTCTATTATTAACCTTTTATTTTATTATTTAACTAATCTGTAATTTATCATCTTTTTATTGCACATATCTAATGTATTGTCTTAATTAATATTATAATATTTTCAATTTTAATTTTAATTTTTTTTTTTTTTTTTTTTATATTATTATAAATATTATCAACTTTTCAAATGATATTTTTTTTATGTAATAAATATTTAATGACATTGTATTTTTAATAAAAAATTATTAATGAAAAAGTGTCATAAATACGTGTAACAAGAAGATTTTTATATTATTAGTAAAATTTGTAAATGATCCTTATTAACTATACATAAAGACAATTGTTAAAATATGTTGAAAAAAAAAAAAAAAAAAATTGTATATATTTTTGATAAACCTTTTATTATAGTAAATATAAATATAAAATGTAGTTTCTTATTAAAAATAAAGCTGATAATTGTATTTTTTCTTGTAATTAACTACTAAAATTTTTGTATTTTTAAATAATTTTTTATTTTATTTTTTTTTTTTTATTCACGGTACTTTTGAGTTGCTAAATAATTTAAAGCTTATATTTTATCCATTCATACGTTTTTTTTAAAAACTAAATATATCGTATTTATTTTTTTGAATTATTTTCATTTTATTCAATTTTGTTTTAACTTTGATTTGATTTGATTTTATTTTATTTAATTTCATTTTATTTTATTTAATTTCATTTTATTTTATTTAATTTCATTTTTATTTTTTACTTTTATTTTTTTTTTTTATTTGATTTGATTTGATTTTATTTGATTTGATTTGATTTTATTTCATTTTAATTTTTATTTTTGTTTTTATTTTTATTTATTTTTTAATTTTTAGTTTATTTATATTTATTTTGCTTATTTATTTTTTTTTTATTTTAATTATTTATTTTTTTTTATATAATTTTGTTTGTTTTTGTTTTTACTTTTCTTTGGTTTGCTTTTTCGCTTTTTTGCTTTTTTGCTTTTGCTAAACTTTTTTTTTTATTATTTTTTCTTTTTCATTTTTATTTTCATTTTAATAATCTATAATGAATTTAAACCTATTTTATTTTATATTTATGTACCATTTTTTGATGTTTTTTTTATAAAGCATAAAAAGTAAATAAAATATAAATTAAAATTAATGAAATAGTCAATGTTTTTATTAAAAAGTATAATTTGAATTATTTAAATTTTTTTTTTTTTTTTTT